GGCGGCCCCGGCCTGCCCCGGCCTGCCCCTGGTCCGCTTCGGCCCGCTGCCCCCAAAAGCCCTTTCCAACACACTTGCCGGACTGCCCTCGCCGGCTCGGTCCGGCGGCGCAAGGCGAGCGGGCTGCCTCCTCGGCTCCCCCCCAGGGTGTCGTTTTCTTTGAAGTTGAACTGGAAAATGTATCAGGAGCAGGAAGCCTCGGGTCATGACTTCCCGGCAAACAAGGAGAGGAGGTAGACGGGATTGAATCGCTGGGCGGGCCGGGGGGGCCGGGGGGTGGGGACGGCCTTCGCTCGCTTCTAAGACCTTTCGAGCCGTCGGCAATAATTGGTGGCTCTGCAAATAGGTTCAATTTACACAAATTCCCCACCCGAGGGCGGCGCTGCCAGCCCTGAGAACCAACTCTCGGCATATTTGCTCATTTAATAGTAATTTTCCGTTTGGTAGCTCTCCCCCTGCTCCCCCTCCTGCATGCAGAGGAAGGGTGCTTTGATGAGGTGAGGTTAATTGTGTCTCCGCTGTTTGTCTTTGCTGATCAGGACAATCTGCCCCGCTCCGTTCCGACGGCGAAGTGACGCGGGGAGAAAAGAGGTTTAGTTTGCGAAAACTTGCACGGGGCTTTACCTCCATCGCCCTACCCATCACCGCGCGCCAGACTGCTAAAAACGAATGTGCAAATATCGCTGACTTTTGTGCGCAACTTATGATTTTCTCATTACATTCTGTTTTAATAAATCGCACACTTCGTAGTGTGCAAGCATTAATCATTAGTGAACTAAACGTTTGCAAAATGATTAATGTTTGCACACCAAATATTGACATCAAGTTTAGTTTGACACCATCGTGTATGATAAACTTTGCACACTTGAAACTGCAAATCTTTTGTGGTTTTTCGACAGTCAGGTAAACGTAAAATGTAAAGGAGAGCGTCAGCAGTTTGCCCTGTGGAGGCCGCCGCCCTGCCCGCCGCACTACGCTATTCCTCGCTCTAGCCTCAGTGCGAGACTCAACTTCGTCCCCCGAGCGCTATACTCGGGGATGTGTGCGGGTGCAATGGGACAAAGAAGAAGAGACAGCAGGCAAAATATATCCTACGAAAAACAGACATAAATTCAACTTATAGGCTCGAACTTAGGTTTGAAACTTTTAATAAACTTTAAAACATTTTATTTTCCAATTGGCAAACTATTTCTCTTTGTCAAGAAACGTAAGGTTATATACAGACTGTTAAAAATATATCCAAGCAGTAATATCCATTCTTACAATAATGTGGCTGTTCCATTCCTTTTCCTTGGGCTATGTCGCAGTATAAGGCGAAAGCATGAAACCACCCTTTAAGCTATCGTTGAAAGCGACTTGCAGTAGGAGCTGCTTCCCCTTTCCGCATTGTCCGCATCGGGGTTTTGGCGCGAGCACAGGCCGGTAGGGGTCTGCGCGAGTCCTGCTGCTACGCCCCTGGACAGACCCTCCTCCTCCACCACCCGCGGGCCGTGGACAGCCTGGCGGCGGCGCCGTGCAAGGCAGCAGGCGAGACCAGTTCGCTCAAGATTGGCATCACGTAGGGCGTTGTTGTAAACTCGGGCCTCATTGGGGAAGGAGGGCACGGGGCCGGGGCTGGGGGAGGGGGGGGACGCAGCACTCGCAAGGCCACAACAGCAGGGGGCCGACGCGCCGCCGGCCCGGGGGTGGTCGGCAGACGGGGGCTGGAAGACGGGGAAAGGGGCATTGGTCCCCACGGGGCAGAGCGAGCAGAGTGAGGTTGGCCGGCGGGGCGGGGAAAGGGGGGGGGGGCCGAGGCGGGGCTGACCACCATCAGTCGACCGCGCGAGAACCACCACGTCACATTAAGAGCCAATAGGTCCGGTCGACCACACCCGCGCGGGGAGGGGAAGAGAATGGCCAAAGGGGAGCTGGTGTGAAGCAGGTGTGAAGCACACCGAGTTTTTGTTCTACCGCGAAAGAAAACAGGCGTGATTCTTAACTTAAAAGGAAAAAGTTCCCTTGTTTTAGCGAAGTCTATTTCAAAGGTCGTTTTTTTGTCATAAATTGTTTGGAGGTAACGAAACGCTCAGAAAATACGAGAAAGTAGGTCCGTTTAATTCGGTGCAGTACGGCAGTTTGGCGCCTGCGAACCTCGGGGTAGGCCAGCCCGCAGTACACGTGTGCACACCGGGCAAGATGTTGCCTACCTACTAGGCGCCATGAGAGCTCGAAATGAGCAAGGTGGACTTGGCAGGTTCGTAACGGACGTACATTCCAGGACATTTGTACGTTCTGCGTGCTCCGTTTTGGCTAGCGGTACCCAGTGTGTTCATCACATCTCCAGAGTGTGAATTCGAACGGCTGGAAGTGCGAACTCCGAACTATCGATCGAGCATCCATAGCTATCTCGGCCGTGCTATTGTAGGCGAGGAAAGAGCTCGTCGTGGCTTCGCAGCCGCCTGCTGGGGCTGGTCGGCACGGCAAGGTATTGCATCCATGACGCTAGCCAATTTTTCTGCGTTGCATTGTGAAGCCCCGACAAAGCCAGCTGCTGCGGTATATTCATCCATGCCGGCCTGCCCACCCAGCTCGGCGTTCATATGTTGCTCACGGCCGTGTACGACGCACCCAGATATGATGCCACATATTTTGCCGTCGCTTCCGGGCCCTGCCCGGCTAAAAACGCGCGCCCGTCGCTCCGGACAGCGCCGCCGTGGCGGCAATATCGTGTGGAGGCCGCAGGCTGGCGGTGTGAGGGCGACGGACCCTGTGCGCGCGGCCAAATAAAAGTGGGTGACGTTTCATTTCTAGTGTTAAAAGCACGGTCGTGTTCTAAAGCGGGACGCCCAACTCAACTCACGGTCTTCCCTTTTGCATTTAAAATGTATTTTGGTGTTCTAGCGCCTCACTGATAAAAATCTGTTTTAAATTTACAACACATGTGATGTAAAGTTTGATAGCGACATATGCTGTCAAAAAACAAAACATGTTGTAATCCAACAACATTCACAAAACTTTCTAAAACAAATTTTTATTTCAAAAAAGTGGTTATTTACTTCCACCTGTTTTGTTGTAGTGTTACAACATGGTGATAAGTCGATACCCTAGACTAAAAGGCACGCAGTTCAGCCGCAGCCGCGCGTACCAAGACTAACGCAGTTCAGCCGCGCCTTTCGAAAGACACCCAGGTTACCGCTCCAGAGATACGAACTTTATGCGTGAGTCTTAGAACTGCGTGCCTTAGCGTCTAACGTGTCGAAGTATTGATTATTGTTATGGATTACGGGCCACAACGGGTAAAATCGAATGAATTTTGTCACAGGCCAATGAATACGAATGATGTTGTTTTTTTAACAAAGTACTCATCACAAATTGTGTCATCACTGTGAAAAATATTAGGTAGGTTTACAGAAAAATTTTCCTTGACGCAAGTTGTAAAATTACAATTTGAAATCGTAAAAATGCACGCAGTACGTATCGACTTGGAATCCATTGGCGAGTAAAAAATCTGCTCTCGTATATTTACAACTTAAATTATAATTCGAGTTTACAAAAATTTTGCAAATTTACGACTATATTTTTTGCAGTGCATAATTTGACAACTTTTTTTAACAGTGAGTTTTCTTTTACATTAATGAGAGTTGAAAGTGGCTGACGCCTTAACATTTTTTATGTATATTAATGTTTAGGTGTTAGGTGTTTCGCAGTATCACATCTGATGAAAACGTTAAATACTGAGCTAAAGTGTGTCCTTGGCCTGTGTGATGTGTTATCTCTCTTGACCTTGTGTGCCTGCTCTCTGCGCAGGTCGACACCCGCGACAACGACACGATGGCCTGGTCGCGGCTCACCTTTAGACCCAAGGCCGCCGACGACGGCGCGACGATCCGCTGCCACGCCGACAACCCGCACCTAGACGGGTCGGGCATCGAGGACAGCTTCACCCTCAACGTCGTGCGTAAGTACTCCCACCAGCGGGCCCGGGGGCATCGGCCAGGGCGCCGGCCAGGGCGTCGGCCAGGGCGTCGGCCAGGGCGCCCGCCTTCCTCCTCCCTCCCTTCAGCGTTTTCTTCTCGGGGCCGAACGCTTAGAGAGGGGCCCAGGGGTTTCGGACGCAGGTCCCGCCGGTGATAGATCACCTTTCAAAAGAGGAAATGAAAGTGCGTGTGGCGAGGATGGGGCGGAGGGGAGAGCACTACTGCCCCCTGCCGTGCATGCTGGCGCATGGGCACCTTACTCGGCCTCGAGAACTGCAGAGAAAGGAAAATAAGGAATATCATCGAAAGGCCCGCTGAAGCTGTTTACTTAGCTCGCTTCGCTTGTTGTCGGGACAGCATCCGGGGCCGTAGCCCGCCAAAGAGCCAGCCCCTTCCTGTGGGCGGCTCTTGCCACCTCCCCGGGCTCCGGCGGATAAGCCACGCTGTACTTTGAAGTTTTGTGTAAATCTACCCGCGTCTTACTGCACTTGTGTTGTCGGATCCACACGTGCTCTTCGCCACCCTGCGCTCTACAGCCTCCCCACAGCCTCTTTAAAGTTTCTGTCATCACTCCCTCTTTTAGTCCTCTTTTCGTCCCCCTCTCCCATTTTCTCTCTTTCTCCCGGAAATGGTGTCCTGGCAAATCCATGGCGCAAATCCTTGGCAGAAGGCTGGCCGGTCACTCTCCCATCCGTCTCCCCTGCCCCTCCCGCGGCCCCGCCCCACCCCGCTGCGGAGTAGCTCAGCGGTGCACTTGTTCTCATCACGTCGCCTTACGACGGGCTGGCCGCCTCCGCCAGGCCCGCCCCGGAGCCACACCACTTCAGTATCATGTAACTCCTCCTGTACTCCGGGCTTTGCAGTGCCCTGCCCCGCCCCACCGCCTTGCTCCGGGCGTAGTGTGATAAGAGATAAAGGGACGCTGCTGAGCGGTGTACCTCGTGAGTAACGCCGAATTGATTTTGAGATGGTGAAAAATGTTGATGTTTGGTCACAGAACACGTCACAGGAGATAGAAGCTACCTCCTAGAAGTCGATATACGTTGTGGTGGCCTCTACTTCTTTTTCTTCCTTTCACCCCCCCCCCC